GTCTTACAGTAACTACATGTCAACATCGCAAGCACGGGGGAGAAAAATTTATATTCCGTGTAATAAATTTCTAAAGTTTGTCCACAGCTCCATAGGGATTGCTGGAGGAGGTGGGATTTATGACCTATTCTGCAGCCCGTCACCAGAGGGCGCTGTTCTCGGGGTGGCTTCAGCCAGTGGAGAGGCAGACGGCGTCCATTCTAGTCTATGGGATGACCAGTCACCTTTAGCTCCAATGGGGTCCTCATGTATATCATCCCCATAGCTCTGCCTTGTTATTTAAACATTAGGGGTTATATCTTCCTGTAATTTTAACTCCTGTAGAGGTTCAGTACTGGAAAATGTCTTACCCTTTTCTGTCTGTCTGCTGTGAAGCAGACAGCTGTGCTGAAATAATGAGGTTCAGGTGCAAAATTGTCACTCTCTAATGCGCTTCTAATCCCGCCTTGAACCGCAGCGTCTTAATGGTAACTCTGTGCAGTAAATCCATAAAAATAATCCAATATTGATGTCTTCTTGTGGTCATTTATCCATGTTTAGAAGCTGTGCTCCCAACTTTCTGCTAACAACAAGCACTGTTACTGATGTGTATGTCAGCGCTGGTCTCAGAGAGTCATCCCACAGAGTTAGTTGTTCCCTTATAGTTCATCTATCACAAATAGCAAACAGACCTGTATGAGGTGATTATTTCCACATTTGAAAATCTTCTGACAAGTTTAATTGCAAATAAATCTTTTTCAGCACCTATCATTAGTGTTTCAAGACACGAACACGACAAGCTGGGAGTACAAGTGAATAAATGAGCAAAATGTAAAAAAGCAGATCATTTATTTATCGATTCAGTATGATGGATTCATCTGATGGATTCATCTGATGAAAAATATTATTTGATACCAGAGTTGTTTTTGTAAGGAGGATGATCTTGAACAGGATATTACAATGACAAGGATTAAAGAGGATAAAAGGCTTTAAAAAAATCTTTATCTTGAACTCATTGAACTGCCCCTCGCTGCCAGCTGTGAATTCAAAGAGCGGTTTACAAACTATAAGCAGCGATCTATGTGGAAGTTTTTGAAGTGAGCTTTCATACACAGTCCCTCTTCTTCGGCTGCTAATCCTGTTTCTGTGTGACCAATAGATGAGCTGCATCTCTGTTGAAAACCACAAAGGGGAACATGATTGCACCCGCCATATGTTTAGCGAAATAAATGAAGGAGTTGAGTGATGACAGAGTGAATGCTGTCAACATTTTTTTACATAAAAACGTACACAAGGATCTGCTCTCATGACCCTGAATTTTCTGTTATCTAACGTAAATATTTGCTGTAATGATTTGGTTTATAGATAAACATTTAAGCGTAACCTGAGACCCTGTTGTCTCCCTGTGTGTAAAGCATTTAACGACCTTGCCCCTCAGTACATAAAAGACATGCTTGTAAGCTACACGCCAGCTTGAATCCTCAGGTCCACAGACAGTGGCCTTTTACAGTTTTTCTCAGTCGCTTTGGTACATTTCTCAGATCAGAATTGAAATTCTCAAAACTACGTGTTCAATCTTCACATCATTGTGTCACTTGTGCACATCAAAAAAGCAGTTTCTCATTTCTTTAAACAACTTGCAAATGCTTTGGTACATCCATGCAAATGATTATGTACAATTTTCTGCTGTTTTCTACATTATCAATTGCTTATGTCATGTTGATCAAAATATATTATAATGGGTCTCTGTTGAATAGTCTCACCCCCCTCAACATTTAGGCATTAGTTCATTGCATAAGTCTTTACATGCAAAATGGTTGAACAAGCTGTCCTAATATGTCAAGCATATTTCTATACATTTCCATTAGACGTTTCTGAATCTGTCCTGAATTGGTAAATTGCTCCCAGGTGAATCTTGACTTTCTCTAACGGTGGGAAATGTTTGAAGCATTAGATCAACCAATGATCAACCACTTTTCTGAAATAGCTCAAAGGTGCATCTCATGAACCATCAACTAGCAAGTATATATATTGCCGGAGCACAACACAATGTTACAATGTCTGACAATGGAAGGACAAGGAACTGGACGGGGTCAACAGCCAGAGAGAAGAAGAGGAAGAGGAGTGAGGCTGGCGGAGGAGTTGGGAGGCAAAACAGAGGAAGAGGCAGAGGACACATGCGCGTTCCTGATGAGATAAGAGCTACACTTGTAGACCACGTTCTCAATCATGGGTTTACAATGGCTGAGGCTGGCCGAAGGGTGCAGCCAAATGTTGGAAGAACAACTGTGTCCTCAATCATTCAGACTTTTCGTTGACAGAACAGGTATGTAATCTAACAATAGGCACTGTACTGTAATACTGTATACTTTCTGTAATGCTTCATACAATATTACAGTATTCGACTTTCATTTTACAATATAGAGTAAGTATACTATATACAGTGACATTTTGGATGAGTGACATTTTGTGGATAAGAATTTGTTGCCAAACAGACAGGAACATCAGGAGGTGTAGGAAGACTGTACCGTAATTCCTACAGCACTGCATTTCCAGTTTTCCCTAAGGAAATTGTCATATGTTCACATTTCTACTTTTGTTTTTTTGTTTTTTTTATTGTGCTCTGCAGTGCTGTCTTTTTCTTTTCTGAATCGCAATGACATGGTCTGTCATCAAATTACAGTCTCTTGCAATCAATCTCCGACATACACTGAGGTGTGACTTCCAATTTACAATGATTGTGATCAAAACTTTAGCCATAGTTTACATCAGAACATCCCTCCAGAGTACACTGTTATACTGACAACATGACTAAGCAATTTGACTGTCTTATCCGTACACAATGACACAAGGACTTGTCATTCTGATGGCACTGACATGTTCATTGACACAGATATTTACTTTTGAGAGATGTACTAAGGATTTTGAGCCAGAGACTGGCTTTTGCAGGTAATCCATGGTGTTTTGCTATTTGTACAAATTGTTTTGAGAAAAGGACTTACTGTTTTTCAAATGTCGAGGATGATTCGAGAAATGTGCCAAAGCGATTGAGAAAGACTGTAAATTCCTCACATACATTCCAAAGCAGAAGACACAGCTTTCAGTTTTGATGCCCCCAGTAAATGGAAAGCCCTGTCTGAGGTGCGAAGAACGACTTCAACACTGACCAAAAACAGGTTCAAAACGTTTATGTCTGATTAAGTTTATGACTAGATGTGTTTGTGCATCTATGTGTGCTGCTAATGTTGTGAATGTGTTTTGAATACTCTATTCATCTGGGTTCTTAATCTGTATTTTGCACTTTCAAATTGCATTTATCACTCTGATTGCTTTGCTGCTAAATGTGAAGGACATCATGTTGTCTTGTGTATGAAATGTGCTATATCAATTAAGCTTGACTTGACTTGTTGTGTAGCTGTTTATTAACCTTTATGGATAAAGTAAGTGAAACTCTAAACTCATTGCTCTATGAAAGGGGGCTCATATTAATAGTTTCTAACCCAAAATTTGAACTTTAATGCTCCACTTGCTTCCATGATTTCACTCAGCTGGAAATTCTGATGTCATTTATAAAACCTTTCTCTGAAATAAAAAATGCTGTTTTTAAATGTCTCTTTAAGGACCCTTGCTTTGAAGTATAACAACATCTGGCTTGCTATAATCCAACTAAGGTGTTATAAAACTAAACTTTCTGTATCTCAAATTAAAGGGATATTCTGGCGTAAAATTAATTCAGGGTCAAACACACCGTATCACCAAGTTAGACACCCCCTTGAGAGAGATGAATGTTGCCAACCGCTTGCTTCTCTAGTTATACCAACTTAAGTAACGACCGCAGATAGCAATACACAGCGGTCTATAGAGCCATAAACAAACCTCAACCAAAACACCACTCTATAGCCACAAATAATGCTCAGAACAGCACCTAACTTCATCAACAGTACATATAGGGTCATAGCCACAGCGCTAGCCACCAAACATCTTTTTAACTTTGCCTGATTTCTTTAGCAAAGAGCCTAAACACAACTCGCCTACTCTCTTCCAGCAGCCGCTTGAGCTGAGGGGTGACGCAGCTCAAGGAAGAACATTTATGGTCATTTCTTCATCATTTCCTTGAAGTAATAATCACCATATTAATCATTTTGCACTACAAAATGTAGTTGCAGCTGTAGTTCTTCTGCCTTAGCGTCTCGGTCTAGTTGCATTTCTATGAGGAAATGATCATAAATGTTCTTCCTTGAGCTGCGTCACCCCGCTGGAGTCCGTAATGGACTGGCCTGAAGTCTTGCTACAAACAAACGGCTGCTGGATGAGAGTAGGTGAGTTGTGTTTAGTCTCTTTGCTAAAGGACCCTATCTGTACTGTTGATAAAGTTAGATGCTGTTCTGAGCATTATTTGTGGCTATAGAGTGGCGTTTTGGTTGAGGTGTGTTTATGACTCCTCAGACCGCTGTGTGTTGCTATCGAGCTGTTGTTACTAAAGTTGGTATAACTAGAGAAGCAAGTGGTCTGCAACATTCATCTCCTGAGGGGGTTAGGGTTAGGGTTTTTGCCGGAATATCCCTTTAAGCCTTTAGAGGTTGTGTAGAAAATTCAGACCAAGCTTATATGAGGCAGTCAGGTCTAAGGGGCATTTTCTGTTCGCTTCATCAGGCTCCACCCCCAAATCCTTTTTTGGCCAGAGGGACATTGGAAGTATTTAAAAAGGAGCATTTGAAACAAATATTTAAATTCAATGATACATTTGAATGTCAAAAATCAGAAGCTTGAGTTTTTTTCAGAAGATCCAAAGCAAGTAACTAGCAAAGACTACTTTGTCCACAGGGGGTCACCAAAATAAACAAAAGGCAAAAGTTCCTCATAGGATCTTTAAAGCTGGGAGTAGATCAGAAATAGAGGTGGAAAAACATACATTCATAGTAAGGCTGCACGATATTGGAAAAAAATAATATTGCGATTTTTTCAACCCTGCGATATATATTGCGATATTAAAAATACAGTATTTTCACCAGATGACCTGAATAGCACTTAATGTTATGCTGCACTGCTGAAATCTTGAGGACAGTTAATCTGCTCTGATCTTACCTCTTTTTGTGAATGTTAGTAGAACGGCTTCTGTCTGTCTCAGAGATATTTTTAGCTTTTATTGTGCTGGGACGTTATTGTGGCAACAGATGAACACAGAAGACGTGTTTTGGTCGACATCATCCTTCTTTTAACCGAAATAATTCCAGATAACTGACTTTCCTTTTCTTTTTGGCAACAAATCTTCATTTTCGGTGGTTTTCGCTTGTTCGTTGTTCATTTTGCGATCGTTGTTGTTGTTGTTAGCGGTGTTGCGCTGAGAAACGCATGTCCTCCGAGAATTGCATGCACCTCGCAAAACGCGCACTGCTTATAGTAGAGTGGTCCACGGAAATGTACAATTTAAAACCCATACAGTTCTTATTTGTTGGGCTTAATAGTCATGAGTAAAGTTCCGAAAGTAATTCTCAGCGGACACACGTCTCCCTCCATGTGCAGAACATGTGCAGGGGTGGGTTTTCTCCTCCCTGATTTTGATTGACAGCTGGCAGGGTAGTCTGATTGGCAACTGAGTTAAGGACGAAGGCGATTGGTGGATCGCTGCACAGCACATGCAGAGTCACATGGAGTGTATCTCAGTCGGTTACCCTTGAAATTAAATGAGTTCATTCACCTCCAATATCGCAGGCTCTGCGATGTGACTATCGCACACACGTACATCGCGATGACGATAGTCAAACGATATATCGTTCAGGCCTAATTCATAGTGATAAGGAGTGCAGCGCTGAATCTTAATTTGAAATTCGTTAATTCTCTGAATACAAAATTTTGAAATTTTCTACCTTGTGTTTTATGTAGAGGGTATAAAAGAGGGAAATGTGCTAAAAAGCTGTGTGAGGTGGAAAAATTTCAGCTGTCAGGAGAAAATGAGGGTATAATAAAACAGTTAGTGGACGTGACCACATTTAAATGCTTACTATTATTATTCAAGTGGAATACACTGCCAGCAGTTACCAAGTGGTTTCCAAGCAGCACACTCACTAAGAAAAGCAGCCTTTTACAGAATTCAAGCTCAGAATTACATCCTTCATGGTCGACAATGCACCAGCTCGTTACACCAAAGGCTCGTTTATATTTTTTCATGTCATTTGAAAGCATTACAATTGTATGCACTAATCCATTACCAACACCATTCATCCTATTTTGGGTTGCAGGGCGGCCTATCACAGAGCTAACATATAGAGACAAGCACTCAAACCTACAGGCAAGTTAATGTGACCAGGAAACCTGACAATATGTCTCTAGACAGTGGAGCCCAGACTCATCACAGATGGACTCTTGCCTGGTCAAGGATTTAAACCAGGACCCTTTATTTTTTTCATGCTCTCATCCATTTTCCCCTGAGTGCAAACTAAATAGAATTAACTTTATACTCGTCTCATTACTGTGTTTTTTTTTTCCTCTCTGCAACTTTTCCAACTGATTTCTGAAAAACTGCAGAAGTTGTGCAGAAAACTGTGCCAACGTCTGTTTGTTTGAATTATGAACATGACCCGATATTGTTGAAAAGGATGTTCTCTCGCATTAGTTTATGAAGCTTCACCCTCAAGGTAACAGAATAAAACATTGCACAAATGAATTACAGTTCAACAGGAAATAAATGTGACATATGTGTGTGTGTGTTTGTGTGTGAGGATTTCTACAGACTGCATTTGCTGGGATGAAATGAAAGTATAATTTAGTATGTGAAGAAATGGTTGTTTACTGTCCTATTTTCTGGGCGTGTTTATGTAAAATATATGTTGTGTCCTAGTGAAATAAAAGCAAGAAAATATCGAATATAACACTTCAGTTCATGGTCTATGCTGTGTGTGCACAACTGAACCCAGCCTCAGCCACAGTGAAACACAGACCGTAAAGCCCATTCTGAATGGTACATGTAAGCACTGTTTGCTCAGCTGTTAATTCACTCTCTTAAGCTGTGCAGTATGCTCATTTCAGCCACTAATCACTCTCCAGTCACACATGAAGCCTGAAACAGCTCCCTGCTGCCACATAACCCCGCAACACAACATGCTGGGGAGCCATCCAGCCAGCGACAAACTCCCACAGAGCAGGAGGGAAAACCCTGCAGCCAGCATGTGCAGACTGGTGCCAAAACCGGCTTTTACTTTGAGTCATGACAGACAAGTGCAGATGCTGAAAGGCTACCTGAGTGGCACCAACTCAAAAGAGTGTGACCTGACATCCAAAGCAGTATGGTTTCCTCAGTTCACCTTGAATCCCGCTTGTGGCATATGATAAATCTTTTCAATATTAGAGCAAAAATACTTTTAAACAGCTCAACCAGGGATCATTGAGCACAATTACAAAATTGAATCTTTTGTTCTTCTTAAAGCTCCTATGAGGAGTTTTTCACCGGCTGCGCCTCATACTGAAATTGATAATGACGTCTCTTGGTGACATAAAAAGGCAAACAAGATGGACTACATGTAACTTTTTATGTCTGAAACCCAGGGGTGAAAGTAAGCAGGTATGCAGCGTTACACCGTAACGGGAAGACATAAACAGCAGTTTACAGCCGGTACGCAGCAGTACATAGGGTGACCATATTCTGACTTCCCAAAAAGAGGACACGTCTACGCGGGGGCAGTCATGGGGTCGCATTAAGTTAATTTTGAGCGTTTTTCGGGTCGGATTGAGTGTCTTTTATGCACTTTGACCGCAAAGACTCTATTTTTGCTGCTCTACGCTTACAATGCGCGTCAATCCACACAGAGAAGATCATTCTACACAGGGAGTCAAGCACGAAAACCATGCATGTCATCCAGTATTTCAAAATAAAACACCATATGCAAACCCCTGACTGTGTATCAGTTCATGTAGATGAGAAATACTTTCTGGTTATGGATTTATCAGAAACACAGAACAATCTGATGATCAATCCCTGATCCATGTGGACCCCAACAAGACTTTTAACTGCTAACTCTGTCTGAAGGTAACAGCACAGAATAAAGGAATGTAGTTTACGTTATTAAACACGAGTAAACCTGCAAAAACCCAAACTGTAAAATCACATTGCTTTTTCACACATAGTAGAGGCTCAACAGTCACAGAATTATATCCAAATTCGCAGTAAATAGACCACAGAAAGGAAAAACAACCTGTTGTGAGCATGTTGTTTGCTCTATACTGAGCTCAGCTGACCGGGGCTGCACTACGCGGCTGCTACGCTCCAAATACGCATCCTGTATGCGATAGACGGCGCTGCTCGACGGAGCAGATACGGAACGCGCTCACTACGGATCCTGTATGCTTTCGGCTTAGCCGGTACGCAGCGGTACGCAAACTTTCCCCCCTTCAGTGTATGTAGGCTACATTTGCTTACCGTGTTGCCGCACGTCAGTCTGCACTCTGCATTGTAACCTGTAATAATCCAACAGGACCATGCTGCTCTTCAGTGAGTCGTTTTAGCTTCCGCAAACAAACAAATTCCGAAAGTGGGAGCCGGCTCAGTGCGCACTTTTGATTGGACGCTGGTTGCCTAGGCGCTGCGGCCCGCTTCCCTCCTTTTGCGGAAGGAGGGAACTTTTAAAGAGACAGCTGCTTTAATCTTAATGCAGAAATAAAACAAAATGGAGGAAATTTTTGATTTTATGTTCAAGAGAAAGAGAGATACTGTGGCATCAGAGTCGGCACCTTGTTAAACTTGGGTGTGCTCCTCTTGTACAAAGCCTACTGGTACAGAACCTGCAAGGACCTTATCCTACTTTCACCCCTGCTGAAACCATGAAAGGTAGGTGTCAGAGCCAGTGAATGACTGCATTGATAACAAACAGAAACACACCTAAAGTTCCTCAGAAGTCACTGACCACAGTCCTTTCTGGGAGTCCCCTAAGCTCCCTTATGTTGTAAGTTCCTCTGGATCACTGCTGCTGCTGACCTGCCTGCTTTCAAGCTGCTTCAACTACAAACATCAGTCTCATTATTTTTTACACACTGTTACTAAGCTAATGTGAATTCATCAGCATCAGTCTGATATCATACTGTCTGGCACGTGTTGTTATTCTCCATCTATCTCTCTCTCTCTGAACCCAATGCAGTAGCAGCAGATGACTGTTGAATATGAGTTGGTTTCTGCCTGTTTAAAGGAAGTTTTCCTTGCTATCAAAGTGTTAGGAGTGGGCCTGATCTTAAGATGAGATGAAAAGATGATAAGATGTTAAGATGATAAGATGAGACTCAATCTTACCCCATCTTTATGTCAGGTCTTCTTGAAGAGTGTGTTCTAGACCAGTGGTTCTCAACTGGTGGGTCCCGACCCAAAAGTGGGTCGCGGACACATTCTAGATGGGTCGCGAACAGCTGGTTAAATAAAGTAGATATTTAATGTGCATCTGATGTTTGAGATGTCTTTTATTTTGAAAAATAGCTTATTTTGAAAGGCATGCGTCATGTTGTGGTCCTCCTTGGTTTCTTATTACTGTGGCCTGAATGCAGTAAAGTTACATGTTTATTATGGTCTTTATTTTGTGCAATCTGATATTTATTCACTTTTGTCCATGCTGTTGCATGGTCCTCCTCAGGTTCTTCTGAATATGCTCTAAATGCAGAGAAGCATATAAGTCAAATTTTTCATTTTTTTGGTCTCCCTTTTGTGCAATTTGATATTTGATATTTTCTGTATATGCAACTTTAGTAGTTGTCGTCCTCAGCTCATGTGCTCTGAAATGCAATTTACTCGATTAAAAGGGTGTATTTTTGTCAAAGATTTGAGTCTTTAAAGGTTTGATTTATAACAAATAAATCTGCTTGATTTGAATTTTATAAAAGTGATAGATAGATAGATAGATAGATAGATAGATAGATAGATAGATAGATAGATAGATAGATAGATAGATAGATAGATAGATAGTTTATTAATCCCAGAGGGTCACTACTTAAGGACCATGGGAAAATGTGGGTCCCAGAGTGAGACCAGTTCAGAACCACTGGTCTAGACCACTTCTTTTACCAACCATCTTGAGATAACATTTGTTGTCAATTTTTAATTTTGTTGAAAACATGTAACTACATTGCTTTGTTTTTCCTAAATTATTTTAGCTGCTCCTGCTGTCGGTCCTCCTTGTTGTCTTCCTTTTGTTGTGAAGCACATTGGGCTGCATGTTTTCATGCATCAAAATCACTGTTCAAATAAAGATGAGTTGAGGTGAGTTGAGTCAAGTCACGTTGAGCGAATTCAGTTGGCGGCTAGATATTCAGCCTAGATCAAAGATAGTAAATTCACACATGAATTCCTATAACTAAACCGACGCAGCTTCATCCGTCAAATCTGATGTCAAATCATTGATGTCATCTTCTGGTTTGCCTTCAAATCTATCTTTACTTGTCAAAGAAATATCTGTATGCCTACTAAAGAAAGATTTAGTGAGGATGTATTTGGACTTGTCTTCTGAGGGGAAAACAAATAAGAGCCAAACAGCCTTCCACCTCCAAATGATAAAGCACGGTTGGTTCATGTTTGACTGACCCTTTCTTAGCTTAAACAAACAGCATGTTGCACTTGTTCTAAATGGTAATCATCCATTTCCCGTCGCTTGTCGTGTAGGTGGTGCTGCTCTTCTTTGTACAATAACACTAACACCAATCATTTTTAAGTATCTCTCCAAGAGGGCACAAGTGCACTGTGACAGTAGACTGGCTGATTTAATTACTTTAATGAAAGGTGTCTTCTACAAGGAACTTACACCCCTGCAAAACTCATTAAGCTTTACTACGTGGTGTCACTTCCAGATAAAAGGAACCCTCAATAAAGCTGCCACTTCTTGTTAAGACTCGCACTAAACAGCTTCATTACACTGTGCATTAAATTAGCTTTGCTATCAACATATTGTATATAACCTCTGTGGACTTAAGTCATTTATAAACCGCAGTTCTAGATGCTCAATTCAAATGAAATGAAAACAACTTATCCTATTTTAAGTCTGCAGTGATGCAAGTCTTTGCAATATGCGATTACTAATTCATGAAAGGCCGAGATGTAACCAAATACAGCAGATCGTTTAGAGCCGTCTGATATCTTTCTTTGAAGATATTCAGAATTCTGTTGAAACCATGATTTTTTCTAGGTAAGGGTCTGTGACTCGTCCACTGATGATTTAACCTGCACCCCTTTCCACGTCAGAACCTGGCAACAAACTGGATGATGCAACGGATGTTTAAGCCGTGTTTTCTTGTTTTCTCTTCTTCGCTGCTCAAATTCAGAGCCATGACAAAAACTACAAAGAAAAAAGGGTTGTTATATTTTCCCTGTTTTTTTTTTAACTTTTTTTTTTCTTTTAAGTGCTCAGACCATATTTTCTTCCCAGTCACATGTGTTTTAATGGTAGAGAACGAATCAGGGACTGAAAGAATCAATCAATCTAGATGGTCTTTTTCTCTTCCTTTACTCTGTGGACCTTTTGCGCGGTCCCTGCAGGCTGTGCCTGTCTAAATGTGGAGCCTTTCACATGATTAAATGTGTCAGGTAGTAGTTGGTCTTCACATCAGCACAGTGATGGCAGCTGCCTAGAGGCTTCCGCTGGGTGCGGTATCCTGACAGCTGCTGAATTTGATCTCTGATCCCTGTTTTTTAACAGACATGAGCTCAACATTAGCAGTTACACCTTGTGATTAAAGCCATCTATCACTGCTTCATCCAGCAGGGCCAGATGTGGTTTTCGCGGTGTGTCAATGGCTGTTCCTGGTAAGGTTTTTCACCCATCTACCTCCAGGACTGTCTGCCGGGCAGGTAGTGCACAGTAGTTTGAAGGACTTTGGTTGAAAACAAGCAAATCAGAAACAGTTTATTGGTTAGAAGGATGAACCAAGAGCTGCATGCTGTAAAACACAGCAATGGTTTAAAAAGCACTAGAGTGGCCCAGAAAGGGTCATGATCGACTAATTAGCATTAGTGTCAATGGAAAACTGCAGCGTCACAAATAGTTTTATCACAGATTCTCTCAAGGCTAAGGTTTGCAGGATGAACATCCAACTGAATACATGTTTCCCTTTGTTATGCAGAAGGATGGACTTTACATTTAAGGCAGTATAATTATTAAGTGTTGTGAAATATGCACCAGTTGTGTCCTTCTCTGGCCTGTCTTTTAGAGATAATGAACTTAAAGATCACAGTAGCTTCCTTGCTGTAATTAACCAACCTACGCCTAAGTTTTCATACATGTTATATAATGAAAAAAAGTTCTGTAGAAGTCCTTACAGCACCTTGTTTCATCCGGAGCAGTATTCAGTACCTGGAGCTCAGAAAAGCATGAGCTGTAATTAACATGAAGGTTTCTGAAAGCTTTGATGTTGGAGATGATCAGAAAATTGTAATTATTGCAACCACTCAGTTGGCTTTACTCTTTTTATAAATAGATGCATTTCACGATTCTCATTACAGCCAGCAAACACGTCGACGCCTGTGTTGATTCCCTCAGTTGGTCCAGAAGTGACTCTCCAGCGAGCTGCTTGTCTGTTTATTCAGCCACAGGAGTAGTGTTGGTAATTATTAAAAGCATTCTTCTCTTTGGATAAAACAAAGGCTGATTAGCGTACATACATATCCGTGGTCACTGTCCCCAGGTGGAGTCAGTCGATGGGAACTGTCACAGGCTGATTTAATTTCCATATAGGCTCGTTCAATGGGACTCTGGGAAAAGACTGCACCCCCGCTCTCTCTCTTCATTACACTCCCTGAGCACATTCCCTTCATTTCTACAGACAATCCATCTGCCACTCTAAAACCCTGTTTTGTCAAGAGTTGTTAGCTGCTTGGCCCCAGGGATGAGCACTGCAGGCTATTATTAATCTTGTTTGTTTCGCGTTTCCCATCTCTGTGCAATAGCGGGACTGAATGCCCAGTGGACTTCGTCTTCTACAGACATAATCAGTGATGTAAGTAAGTGCAGATTATTATTGAGACTTGTGAAAGAGGGCCACCTCTGAGGTCTAAGTGTCACCTTGTGAATGATTAGATATTTGCACAGAAGCAGTTTCTCTTCTGTCGTGTGGAATATCAACAAAATAGAGATAAAACACAAGGGCAAAGCTTACATAAAAGATTAAATCTGGCAATCCGCTTGTGGACTTTTTTCCCGATTATCAGGCATTCATTGGCATACAGTTTTGCACAAAAACCCAAATGAAGCTAATTCTTCCTGTTTTTTACATCACTGCTTTGTTCTTTAATTCCTGTGGGAATACTGCTGCAAATGAAATTAGTAGCCATTAATTAAACACCTTCAGTAAGTGTAATTTTCTGTGCAGTAATGCTGACCGGTTGGTAATGCTGTGAGGCCATCAGCGGGGAAGAGCTGACAGAGTCAGATCCCTGATAATCACGATCTTGTCAAAGAAGGACGGGGCAAAGGAGAAGGACACTGCTGATTCTGGCTGCAGCAGCTCTAATCCAGCCAGAGGGACAGAGGATTTCTGAACACTCATAATCAATACGTTTACACCCATGTTTCTTATGTAAGTGAGACCTGATCCGGAATCAATCCCACTTTCGTGACTCTGATGCCTTGCTGACCTCATCCTTTTTTCCATCACATTAGCATAATCAAAAGTTAGTTGTGTCCCCTTGTGCTACCTAAAAGCCCCAAAGACATTTCCAAGAACCTAAAATAATGAAACTTGCCCTGAGGATGTATTTTTCTTTCAATCTAGCCAAAAGAATTTTCTTGAACTAATAAATACATGGTCGCTAAAACGTTGGATAATAAGAAATGTAATCAAGAATTAAGTTTGAGTGCTGATGAAGTACATTACTTCTTACTGAAAATGAAATACTTGAGAAAAGTACTTGGCAGTACTTGGTGTTAAATGCTATTTCACAGACCTAAGACTGTGTCTAGACTGAAGTCTAGACAGCAGCGCTCGTTTGATTTTCACATTCAAGGTGAAACCAGATCACTGTTGTATTATTTCAGCCCAAACTGACCAAGTGAATTTTATAATGCCTTGACCTAACCAAGTTATTTGAAAACTGGGGCAAACTGACAGTTTTACAGCCAGAAATGTCACCATTGCAGTTAATCTTAACTGGTACTACTTAGCAGTAAGCTTCTCTGTAGAAGAGTAAGTGAAATAAGTGAGCAAAAAGAGCAATAGTGTAATGGGGCGCTCACACCAAGTGTGAGTAAAATCATCTACTCGCTTAAGTCGCCCCAATCTAGACGCGTGAATAAATAGTATTTACTCGCTTCATTTGCGCGTTAACAGTAATTTCAACGGTAATCTCTGCCAATTCAACTGGTGAGATCAAGTAATAGACAAACGTTTTTCGCAATTTACCAGGTAATCTGACCTCCTCACTCACCTGCCTCCAGGCGAGCCCCTTTTTATTCCGGTTTCGGTCATTGAAAGAAAAGGTATCGTATAATTCGGGGCACCCACGCACCAACACGATCAGTTTCTCCTCCATTTTTGATACTAGTGAACAACGGTCGGTTTTCATACGTCACCCGGCTGATTAGTTAGGGCGACACTCAAGTTGAGACATTTGCAGCTTACGCCCAATTTGCGTCCATCGTGCCGCCAGAGTAGTAGGAGCATCCAATTGCGTCTTTGCATTGACTTAACATGTAATTCATTCGTGTGAATGATTTTACTCGCGCTTGGTGTGTGGAGACAGTTACAGTTGTTGTATTCCATCATGACCCATGTATATCTACTGTTATTTGTCAGCCCTCACTTTGTTAGTGATGATTTGATCCACAGGTTTACCATGGTTTCCACCATTGGCTCTATCAATATTATTTCGGATAATATTTTTCTGATTATTTTTGTTGCTGTTCTTGTTTTTTTTAAGCTCATTTTTGTTATTGTGTTGAGCTGGGTCGAAGGAGTCATGCCCACTGGTTCCTCAAGCGTAAACACAACATTGCAGCTATATTTCCAATTGCCCCATTGCATACTTGCAAACTCACCTCTATAACCATTTGCAGTGACTGCAGCTGTCTCTATTTCGCACTATTTATTCCATGAAGTATTTGATAAGGGGTTATTACCACTGCCCTCCTATCTCTGCTGGGTTGATCTTGGCGTATGTTGGTAAGATGTGGATGAGGGCAGAGCTGTCAAGTATCAGCTCTGTACTTAAAAGTCCACGTGACTTGGCAGAAGAAAAGCTATGATTTGCCAGTATTTTCACATCCTTAAAGAAGAGCTAATCAGAAATGTGTTTTGGAGCTCATTTTACCTCAATTAGCCTTATTTCCTCTTAGCATTTGTCAGATTGGGTTTCTTTGACTAAATTCTGTTATGACAGATCAACAATTTGCAGTGATATGGAGTCACCCCTGAGGAGATTTAAGCATAATATCTCATTAAGACAGGTTTTGTTCATGACCCTGGTGTAATTGCTCATGGGATAATTTTCAGCCATTTATAAGGGATCAAAAACAAAGGAGTGACATCTCCCAAAACACTTCATTAGAATTGCATATTTAGATCAGAACAACAGCAGAGCACATTTATACCTAAATTGACATTATTCTTTGATTTCTGTTTACAGCTACATGTGGGTACTCTAATTTTACAGTCATGTGGAAATGAAAAGATTTTTCATAAATTACTTTTGAGGATTTTTGTCCTTTTTTAAGATTGTTTTTGGGACAATTTCATTTTTTATTTATTTTTTGGGCAGGGTGGCTTAGTGAAGGGACATATTTGAACATTTGGAGGACAGAAGAGAGGATTACATGCAGCAAAGGGCCAAAGGTCAGCAACCCAGAGCTGCTTTGATGATGACTGTGGCCTCTTTGTACAGGAGATGCAATCAAAGTTATGAACTGAATCAGCGTCCTGACTTAAGCTTCGATGTGTAACTCTGCTATTTTGAATCATACCACAGTACATCTATGGTAGCTGATTGACAAGTGCATAGTTTATAAATGGGCTTGGTACTGTGGCGTTCTGATCCAATAATAGGCTTCAGTCCATTAATATCAGACCATCAAAGTCCTCCAATAATACATTTTAAAAAACATGGGAACCACAACCAGATATAATACATATTTAAGCCGATAAATGATGGCCTAAGGCCCAGGGTCATGAGTGGCCTGTTGAGTGAAAACATCAGGGGCCACTGGATGAGGGGACACACGTGAGTCGAGACTGGCACAGACAGCTGCTGTAACACATTCCACCAGCAAATCTGCTTCTCACAAGATTCACAATAACTGCGCACAGTGCAGTCTATGTTATTGCTAAAATGATAATGTAACAACGCATCGCGGTTTTTCTCTCTCACACACATACACACCCTTGAACCCTAGATCTCCAAAAGGCAGATCCAGTCAACAACCAATCTAATACCATACTCCATGCTTGATGCGACTGGGCATAAAAAAGCTATATTCAGTGATATAAGTACGTGTTTTCCGCAGTGTTGTTTTCGTCAGGCAGGACGAAAACTTAAATGACGACGTCAGACCCCTTTTTTCCTTGATGAAAGTGAGACTAAGACGAACGTCACCAAAGCTCTGTAAAGACTAAAATGTGACGAAAATTGTATTCATTTTCGTCAGACGAGAATGAGACGAGACTAAATTGTTATTAGGTGGACGAACAAAGTTTCAAAACATGCTTTTTTTTGTCCTAACAGTCATGCCCCCATCACAAACATACCAAAAGCCTCACTCGCTCACAGCTGCGCGCACACACTCATACACATACACAGAGCGGCAGGTGGACGAGGCGCGCACACACACACACCGTGAGGGCAGGCACAGCAGCGGTACCTGGTGGCCGAAAAAAGAGGGATGATTTATGGTCCTACTTTAGATACAGTCCAAGTGACAATAAAACACAATGTCTTGTACGGGGACCGGGAGACGAGACAGACGACAGTTGTGGAGCCACAGCTTCCTCATGCTGCGGCTTCAAACTGTCGGGAAAGAACACCACGAACCTCAAAAGGCACCTTTTCGTCGACTAAAACTAGACTAAAACCTTTTGAGTTTTCGTCGGACTAAAACTAGACGAAAACTATCAAGGATAGAAATGACTAAAATGGGACTAAAACGAAGAAGCATTTCGTCAAAACGACTAAGACTAAAACTAAATCTAAAATGCCTGCCAAAAACAACACTGGTTTTCCAAAGTCTTGCTGGTCACAAACTGTTAAACTTGCTTTCTAGTGTTGTTGCAATGAGTTGGCTACTCAGAAGTTTCTTTTTTGTTTTGTGGGATTTATGCTGCGTTCGAGTTACCTTGGAAGTCAGAAGTCCAAGCTGGGAATGACGTCACACCTGAGTTACCAGCGTTTCAGTTACCAAGTCAGAAAAAAGCAAACTCGGAGGCGTTAACAAGATGGCTACATCTACGAACGTTATTTTAGTGCTTGCCTTGTCCTTGCTTATATCTGGACAAGGCAAGCGCTTTCGTAGATGTAGCCATCTTGTTTCTGCCTCTGATTTTGCTTTTTTTTTGACTTGGTAACTCAAACGCTGGTAACTCGTGTGTGACGTCATTCCCAGCTCGGACTCCCGACTTCCGAGGTAACTCGAACGCAGCATTAGTTCTCTGCGCTGTAGATTACACAAACTGAATATGGTGGCTAGGTTACCGCTGTTACATGACATCAGCTTTGGTACAAGCTTAAAGGTAACATTAACAAGGACATGGCTCTGAAATTACTTGTGTCATCATGTTTAAACTCAAAATTAGAGAAACGACATCAGTGATCACCATGTGCCAATGCTCCCCCTAGTGGCAGGGTCATCCACAGACTTGTGTGCATCCCTGAAGTTCCTGTCATGTGGAGGATATCTGCTCATTCTGGTCCATAATGGATCAGCAGACATTTCCCAGTGAGTTCTTGAATATCAATATTGTTGCATCTTAGCTTGACATGATTAAATGTAAAAATGGAGCCCATCATCTACTGACACAGTGATGACTGTCGGAGTTGTCATTTCAGTTCAGCCCTCCTCTTAAATGGCTAACTCAGAGCATTTCTACGAGTCAAGGCCCCTCTGCTTCATAGCTACTGGCTCACTCAACATTATCCTTTAATATGTAATAAGGCTGCACGATATTGGAAAAAAATAATATTGCGATTTTTTCAACCCTGTGATATATATTGCGATATTAAAAATACAGTATTATCACCAGATGACCTGAATAGCATTTAATGTTATGCTGCACTGCTGAAATCTTGAGGACAGTTAATCTGCTCTGATCTTACCTCTTTTTGTGAATGTTAGTAGAACGGCCTCTGTCTGTCTCAGAGATATTTTTAGCTTTTATTGTGCTGGGACTTTATTGTGGCAACAGATGAACACAGAAGACGTGTTTTGGTCGACATCATCCTTCTTTTAACCGAAATAATTCCAGATAACTGACTTTCCTTTTCTTTTTGGCAACAAATCTTCATTTTCGGTGGTTTTCGCTTGTTCGTTGTTCATTTTGCGATCGTTGTTGTTGTTGTTAGCGGTGTTGTGCCGAGAAACGCATGTCCTCCGAGAATTGCATGCACCTCGCAAAACGCGCGCTGCTTATAGTAGAGTGGTCCACGGAAATGTACAATTTAAAACCCATACAGTTCTTATTTGTTGGGCTTAATAGTCATGAGTAAAGTTCCGAAAGTAATTCTCAGCGGACACACGTCTCCCTCCATGTGCAGAACATGTGCAGGGGTGGGTTTTCTCCTCCCTGATTTTGATTGACAGCTGGCAGGGTAGTCTGATTGGCAACTGAGAAGTGAGTCTGATTGGCAACTGAGTTAAGGACGAAGGCGATTGGTGGATCGCTGCACAGCACATGCAGAGTCACATGGAGTGTATCTCAGTCGGTTACCCTTGAAATTAAATGAGTTCATTCACCTCCAATATCGCAGGCTCTGCGATGTGACTATCGCACACACGTACATCGCGATGACGATAGTCAAACGATATATCGTTCAGGCCTAATATGTAAGTGTTCTGTTTCCACTGTAAGTACATCCTAGAGCTCAAGTCTTCAATTGAAGGGCAAGATCAACTTTACTGCACTCCAGACATGCAACTTACTATTTTATTTGATGCTCTCTTATTCGTTACCTGTTATCATTTCAATTTCAGTGTTTTTAATAACTTTTTTCTTCAAGACAGTCTGACCTCATTCTGCACAAATTGCTATCCTCATGACATTTCCAAAGCTGTAGACTCTTCAGTCAAAGACCTAACTCGGTGTTTGGTGAACGGAAATGTGTTTTCTAATCTATTCATGCGGAGGCTCTGCTCTGCTGTGAAAGTATCTTGATGAACACAGCATGTGACGAGCTATACCTGTAGACCATGTACCTGTGTATTTAACCGGAGGCAAGGTTTTAATGAGCATTAACAAAACAAAGAAAGCACTGCATATCAAACAGAAAGATAAAGTCCCTCAAGATATGAATTAATTTTTTAAATGTATTTGACGGATCAAAATCAGCAGTAACAAAAGCAAGTTCTCTTAAAGGCTAAACTTTGCTGATATCTTAATAATGCATACGTGACTCATTATTCAGTGTGAAATAAAAATTAATCACATGCATCCTGCTGCATATAGAAATCTCATGACTACAGGGCATTTCTTACTGAGACTATAGGAGGATCATAGAGACACGTCTGAAGCTACTTCAGAGAGAGGAAGACAAACTAATCAGACACTGCGACATGTACGGAGACAACAAGAACAGTATCACAGATCAGACTTTTTTTCAAAGCTGATTTGTCTCTTACATGTGAAGAAGCTGTAAGAAAAAAGAAAAAAACATGTGCGAATAGTGAGTTGCTTCACACAGCCAAGCACAAACTTAAGTTTTAATTTAATCGACAGGGTCCTTCCTCTTTACTGTACAGCTGATGAGATCTTCCAAAGGCACTGGTTGAGACACGATTACTAAAAGGCTTTGTTTGTGAAAAGATACACTGTGCTGCTTGAAATGTTGACCTTTATTCTTGTGATTTTTAGTTGTTCAGTTTGCTGTAGAGCACATGTTCAAATTGTGACTGCTGACAGGAACAGCACTAAAACAGCCGTTTCTAATGACCTAATTACTAGATTCATTAGAGGTTGGTGAGCTGGTGTTGTTGTGAGGATGACTATGGAGAGGTATCTTATTTTTTAACAAAAATATAGATTACAGAGACTTTTGGATTGTTCAACACCCACACCAGAACAGCAAGAGTTTCATGATATCTTAACGCCATTTGCAGTCACTTTTATTATCTACAAGCGAATAAAACAGGTTAATTCAAATCAAGGCTCATAAACTTTGAAATTTTTGAACAAGGCAGTTATAACAAAATATAATTGGAGTTCTGAAGGTCAAATGTGGTCCCGTTCTCGACCAAAATGAAATTCCACAGGCTCATCAGCTCAAGGTCTCTTATGTGCTTTCATTTAATGAAGCACCAAATGTTTTTTAGTGGGTAACAAGTCAAGACTGCAGGCAGGCCAATTTGGTACCTGGGGCCCTCTAATACAAAGCCATGTTGTGTGTGATTTGGCTTTATCTTGCTGAAATATGCAGGGTCCTCCCTGACAATAGCATTGTCTAGTTGGTGGCATGTGTTCCTCAAAACCCTGTGTTGTTCAGTTTTAATGGTGTGCAAGCTAGCTCGCCATGGAAACGCATGCATCGCTATTCTATCCTAGATGTTGAGTTTGAAACTGTACACGGATACCAAGTCGGGTCACCCCTCACTCCTTTAGAATGGAGGAATGGCAACCATGACTTCCAAGAAGAACCAGACCACAGGACAGTTTTCCACCTCCCCCGTTACATGTTAAATGGACTTAGGCCCAGAGAAGTCACCAGCTTTTCTGTTTCATGGTTTTTTTGTAATGCGGTAGTTTTTAACCTGCATTTATAAATGTAGCAGCAAACTGTATTCAGATTAAATAGTCTTTGGAAGTGATTTTGAGCCCATGCAAGGATTCCAACTACAGAGGCATGTGTGTTGGCAGAGCTGCTGAAGAGCCAAGGAGCAAAGCCTTCCAATATCAGTTTTTAGCTTTGTCCCTTTAGTACAGAGATTTTGCCAAACTTTGACCATGTAAATAATTTTATGTACTGCAGATGATGAAATGATCAGATTTTTTTGCAATGTAAAACTCAGAAGGGGGCCACTGGCCTAGTGGTGTATGCATGCCCCACCTAGTGAGGTTATACCTCAAGCAGTCAGCCGTGTTCACCTTCAACTAGTGGCTACCATAGACTGTATATAGAATAGACGAAGTCTGCCTCCTCGCTGGGTGAAGCCACTCTGAGAACAGCACCCTCTGGTGACGGGCTGCAGTATAGGTCATAAATCCCAAAATTTATTACACAGATTATAAATTATTTTCCCCCCTGCTTGCGATGTTGACATGTAGTTACGGTAAGACTGGTTTGTGCTCAAGTCCTCTTTTTTCTGTACAGCTCCATTTTTAAAATTATTAGGGGGTTCAAGTTTTCTACGATTGACACTTGATACAGCCTATGGGCGTACGATGATTGCGTAGCTCACCCAGGGGATACGCTGTTTGAGCAGAGCATCATCACAGTGACTCTCTGTGACTCTTCCGCCGAATGCGTACAACGCTACTGTGCAATGCTGTTTTCAGGAAATGGACAAAAATCACGTTAATACCGAAAGCTTTTCGGCTTCCAATCCGTATACTGATGAAAGGCGGAACCATTTCACATAGTAAAGTCTATGGTGGCTTCTTTCCTGCTCCGTTCTCTCTCCTGTGCTCCTCTGATAAAGACAAAATAGCCTTAAAATAAATCTTTAAAGTTGGATGCATGACTCAATATTTTGGTGGTTTGTTATCCCTGTCCCAACTTTTAAGTTGTTTAACTTGGAAGTCCAATGGGGTGACCTGTGTCCCTTCTGAAAGGAACAAAGTTAGCCTAAGAAACAGAAAATTAGCCCCTTCTCTCTTGTCTGAATTATGTACCTGAATAAGCTCTCGTCAAAGACATTCTCCAGTTGTGAAGCGGTTTGTAAGCACAGTTATTCCTTCAAATGAACGATGAAAAGGTGCTATTCAAGTGTAAAAATGTGGTATTGACCCTACAAAGTTGACTTAAGATTGGCAGCTACAGACTCAACTTGAACAAATAACGGTAGAGAGGTAGATTGACAAAATATCCAAAAGCCAAGAGAGCAAATACTTCAAATCTCTGACGGTTGAAGTTTAAAGCTCATGACAACAAATGCATTCCTGCACAAATTTTAGGAATTAAAAGTTTCATTTAAGATACCCTTGAAAGTTCAATGCCTCGGTACAGGCATGTTGGCGAGAGAAAAACACACTTCAACTTGAGTGGTTACAGAGTCAATGGAAAACCAAGCAACCAGCTGGGAGATTTGTTCAGTAACGAAATTAAAGATAAAGAGCAGAGTGTTTGAAAGGACTCATCCAAAATAACTCATTTTAATTTCTGCCTTAAGGACCCCTTGAAAAGTTGAATTGTATGAAAAGAAAAGAGATGAAAAGAAACACTGGTTTGATTAATATTTTTAAACCAAGACTTTTTCCTCAACACTCGTTCCCTCAGCACACCAAAACCTTGAAAAGTGTTCAAAAGACTAACATTTGACACCTTCTCACATCTTAATACCGGTGAGTCATAGAGTTTTCAGTCACAGACCAGGACTGTTGCCAAGACTGGGGATCTTGCAGGGTCACCCACAAGAAGACTACTAACAGATTCCAAAAACATGTGTAGACTGGATCATAATCCTCTATGACCCCTCCAGCCTCCCAGCAAGCTTTAGAAGATGGATTTCTGTTCCATGGCCAGAACTGAATCTGTGTGGTGCCACCTGAGTCTGAGGTTTAAAAAACATTAGGAGTGTACGGGACCAAGCAACCAGGCAAAGGACAAAGGTGTGGGAAAAGATCTTGATCCTTATATTTTACTGAAAAAAAGCAGAAATCAATAACAAAATATCCAACTTAATGTGGTAGGAAATCAACAAAATTTGAGCCCGCACTAAAAGAGGTCAACTCTGCAAAATAAGGAACAACCTAACAAACACAATCAAACAGATCTGCTAAATGGGTTTAAAAAGACAAAGGACTAGTCCAACATAAACACAAGGAGGAACCTAAGGTGACTACAAACTAAACATCTTACAAACTCAGACAAACACCATCAAATTATCAAAACCAACTATTTACAGAAAAAACTAAAAACTTTGTACTGATTGAAAGAATCAAGACAAAAGTTTTATAAGGAATCAAAAGTCCAAACCTCTACTTGCTTCCCCCCTAGTGGTCTGTCTCACTTCCTGTGGGCAGGGCCTAAGAGGCCATCTTGGAGCTGCAGACAGCCTTTTACCAGGTGAGCTCAAGCAAAGACAAACAAAAAGGTAAGAATTACTTTGAAATGACAAACTAAATTAAATCATGATGAAGAGAGTTAAATCATGTGACAGTTTGTTAACTAAATTGAGTGCACCCAAATGTGTCAGATGTCAGGGGTGAGAGGAAGTGTAGCCC